CCAAGATCTTTGTACCGCTACAGATCGTCATGTCTTATAGCCATTGGGCCATAGGAAAACGGGCATTCTGGGGACTCGTGATGCAGAAAAGTTGGCCAGCCTTAATGATAGATCATAACAGTGCTTTGCTGCATGAAGGTCTGAGGTCAGCTGAGCTTTACGCTGTCACTGATAAAGACCCTGCAATTTTCACATGTCAGGAGGCTGAATAAGGCTTTGGGCAAGGAAGACATTGGTATTCCACAGGGAAAATTTTGCTTTCCTAGCTGTCCCATGTGCTTTTGGGAGCAATTTGGTCTGTGGCATCCATCCAGCAAACCACTTAGACAGGAGCACCTCTTTGTCCATGGACCATCCTGCTGAATTCATTATGGCTCCTTAAATTCTTCTGGGAATGAATGTGCTTCACTGAGCTGAGTCCAGCCTTTCTCTCATCCCCCATAAAGCTCCTTCAGGTCCCTTGAAACCATTTTAGTGTGCTGGATAGGCTAAGACACTGACCAGGACTGTGCTGCTTTCTTTAGGCATAGCCACATTTTCAAAAATGAGTGAACAGGACCAAGTTTAGCTTCAAGTTAAAAAGTAACATTCTTTTAAGTTGTAAAGATATGAAAATCAGGAAGAAGGGAGCTGTGCCAGTGGGGAGCTGTGCCTGTTCACGTGTACTCTTCTTTATTCCATAGCTTGTGATCACACAGGACTGGCAATGCTGGTGAGATTGGTACAGTGCTGTAAAATGGCAGATAAGAGCAGAGGAGGACAGGATGAATTATCCCTTTTATTATTACTGGATCCCAGGCCCTCAAAGGTGAGGGAGCAGCAGCCTGAACAAGCATGAGTAGATGGATCAAGTGGAAATGTTGGGACAGAAGATCTTGTGGAGATGACAGAGGCCAACATAAATACCAAGCAGAAAAAGACTGCCAGGAAGAGACTTAAGAAATGTCCCACTCAAGGCAAGCCTAGGTTCATGGTGCAGAGAATATCTAAGCACACAGAACAGAGGAAGAAAACAAGTAGGCAAGAAAGCTGGACAGTATGATTGCTTTGGAGAGCACTGGCTGATGCTCACTGCTGCTGTTGGACACAGCAAGGAGCAGGGAAACAATGTTGACACTCACTGTGAGGAGCTGTGTCTTTGCCTGGGAAGCCCAGAAGGTGTTGTGGGAAATCCTAGTGTATGTGTTTCTTTTAGTGAAAGATAATGGAGAGAATGCTGGAAGCCAGACACCTAATCTGATATGGGCAGAGCTGCATACAGCTGAAGGTTGAATGAAATTATAGGGGGCAATTCTGATCAATGATGATATTCTGGGAATGACTTTCAGAGGAGTTAGCCTTCACATGAGGGATAAAACTGTGCTGCAGGTAATAAAGAAAAACTATTCCTGTCATTTGCTCAGAAGGATATAACTGGAGAAGATAACTGTGCTGAGCACCTGGTGAAGGATGGGTTTTCTCAGGCTTAAAGGGAAACCAACCAAGGCAACAGAGTTTGCAGAAGAAGATGTGAGAGAGTGTTCTGTTGGGACTGGAGTATAACTCAGCTGTGATTCTAAGCTGGAAGCACCAGAAAAAGAGGGATATGCTGGCCTGTATAGGCTAGTTTAGCACAAGTTTTTCAGCCAGGTGTGGTTAGGTTATGCTCTTATGTTTTGAGAATACCAATTAACAAATGAATGGCTTTGCTGACAGCCAAGAGTATGAAGAAAGGCTGAGGGAAAAAGGCTTGTTTAGCCTGGAAAAAAGAAGACTCTGGAGAGACCTCATTGTGGCCTTCAGTGCTTGAACGGAGCATATAAACAGGAGGAGGAACGTCTGTTTACGAGTGATAGGACAAGGGGGATGGTTTTAAACTGAGACAGGGGAGGTTTAAGTTAGATATTAGGAGGAAGTTTTTCACACAGAGGGTGGTGACACACTGGAACAGGTTGCCCAAGGAGGTTGTGGATGCCCCATTGCTGGAGGCATTCAAGGCCAGGCTGGATGTGGCTCTGGGCAGCCTGGTCTGGTGGTTGGTGACCCTGCACACAGTAGGGGGGTTGAAACTAGATGGTCATTGTGGTCTGTTTCAACTCAGGCCATTCTATGATTCTATGAAAGGCCCTGCAGACAACCTTTAGACAGGTTGGCTGGCTCTGTGGACATTACTGAAGCTGTCTGACTGCGTAATGCCAACCTACACCCATGTGAGCATGTGCATAGAAGAGAGATGGTGACATTCAACAGCCTGCAGCAGTTCCACAGGTCTGTCCTCTCCTGCTGATTAGTTGGTGTCCTGGTGTCCGCCACTCATTGTGCAGGCATTTAATGTGGTGCTTAAATTCTGCAGCTGCAGTTGTTAACATAGTTTAAAATAACACAATAGTGAAAAAAAAATTAGAAGGAGAGGACTTCAGGAGGTCATACAGACCACTCCTTGTTCCAGGGTAAGCTCATTGCACCGATGGCACTTCTGGTACATTGCCCTGATTTGTCCTTAAGCCTCTCTGTAAGTGGCAGCTCCCCTTCAGGGAAAGAAACACAGTTTCAGGTGCTATTGAACCCATACAGGTGCTAGAAGACAAAAATACCCTCTCTCCTTTATGGAGCACTTCCTCGGACTTGTAAGATAAGAGAAAAGAGTTGAGGACATCTCTGTCATGCAAGGGGAATCAGAGGGGAAACCAGTCTTGTTCCAGCAGTGCCGGGCTGTCACAGCACCCAGAGAGGACTGAGTTAGGAGATGGCTGTCAAACACATGGATTATAGGTGTGAATAGGCAGAAGCATTCCACACATCAGCAGTTATCTGCCAGGCACTGGTGCCTAAGAGTCAGCTGGTGGGAGCAATCCTGTAATAGGGGGCTGGGACTGAGAGGAAGCAGTGGCAATCAGCGGGAATTAGCCCAGTTCAGGTAATTTGAATTTTGAACCAAGAGAAGACTAGGGGAAGAAAATGAGAAGAAAAATGGTTATCTGAGCACTGTGGGAAGAGGGAATACTTCTTGTCATAGTGGCACAGCAAAGCAAGACTTGAAGAGCTGAAGTGCCTGGCAGTAGTAATGGTCACTGGGGTCGTAGCTGAGCTTCAGAGTCAGACTGCTTGTGGGAGCTCACCCAGGAAAGGGAGGCAGTGCAATCACATAACAGTCCTTGTTTTTCTGCAACACATCCCCAGCATTAACTGTATTTGAAAATACAGCTTCCAGGCTTCTTTTACTATTTCAAAAAATAATCTTACCTCTGTAGAGTCTTATATTGTGTGCTCTACTTTTTCCCTAGGTTTTTGTTCACCACTGGTGTTAATTAGGATTTCCTTAGCCTTGTTTTTCTGATGTTTTCCTTTGTTACTGAGGATAGAGAAGGTGACCTTGCTCACCAGGTGGATTTTCTCAGCTCTGACAGTCTAATCATTAGCGTCTTAAGGAATAGAGGTAGAGATCTTACATGAGAAAATTGAGATAAACTATAAAAACATCACATAGACGGCTGTCAGTGTCATTTGCCACAGCTCTGATAATTCAAAAATAGATATATTTCTGGAAAGTCATTCTGTTCCCACACAACACCTGCTGTAATTCCACACATTACAATATTGCGTACAATGGAGTGAAGTGATGGTTTTGTGGCATGATAAGAAAACACAGCAAATGCCTACAAATGTAGCTTGATAGCAAGCAGCTGAACTGGGCACACTGAGAAAAATAACCGACATTTTATTATGCTGAAAAGTGGAACAGTGACCAGTGCATTGACCTCTGGTGATCTGGCTTTGCATTATAATTTACAGCATAGTGAAAGCTATTTTGGTGACTTTACTGTACTCTCCACCAATGCAGACACAAAATTACAGAAACATTGAAAAAAATAAGTTGAAAGGGATTTCTAGAAGTGAGTGCAGCAATCTGTTCAAGGAAGATCCAACTAGAGCAGGTTGCTTAGGGTCATGTTCCGTCAAGTTCTGGGAATCTCCAAGGGTGGGGATGACACTACCTTGCCGGGTAACCAGGTCAGTATTTGATCATATTCATCACAAGAACTCACAGTACACTGAAAATATGAGTGGTAATCCTGGGTGAACAGGAATCCAAACAAGGAATAACTGAGTTCTGCCTCTCACTACCAGACAGCACCAGAACACTCACGTGAATAAATGTATTTCAAGACACTGATTGGTGTTACCCTCATAAGTGTTATAAACACTAAGATTAAAAGAAATATATAAACACAGGAGAATATAACCTTCAGAATCACAGAATCATGGCATGGTTTGGGTTGGAAGGGATCTTGAAGGCCACACTGTTCCAGCCCGCTGCTGTGGGCTGGTTGCCACCCACTGAACCAGGTTGCCCAAAGCCCCATCCAACCTGGCCATGAGTGCTTCCAGGGATGGGGTATCAGTAACTTCTCTTTGTCCATAGGAGTCTTTTTTAAGAATACTGTGATAACACAACATCCGTAATTCCAGTGTGGTACTTGTCTCATGAAGTAAGATGCTTTACAACAGAATAGCTCTGACAAAGCATTCGCAGTGCAATGCACAGATGTGCATAGCAGAGTGGTACGCAGCAGGCAGCTGCACCAGTATCAGGCTTGAATTTTGGAGACAGCAAACCAGGAGCTTCTGCTTTTCAGCGATAAGCGCAGGAGCAATGTCGATACTGTTTCTGATCCATTTGGCCTGAAAACTTAAATAACACTGCAGCACGTTTCTGAACAGCCATAACCAATTGGGCCCTGATCCTTGCAGGTGTTTCCAAATGTTGTTCAAGAATAACACACACGGTTTGCAGATTTGCCACTAAGCAGTTGCCACAAGCTACTGAAAAAAAACCAACTTATTAAGACTACAAAAAAAAAAAGCTGGGAATATTAAAAGAAAATGAATGCTTAAATGTTGCTGAACATGCTGCCTAACATCAGAAACACAAGACAACAGCAGAAAGCCATGCAACGTATTTTGGCAGAAGCGCGCAAGCACTCCACAGCTCGTCCCTTGGATGCCATGCTCACACTTACATTAGTCTGTGTCATACTACCTTAACTTGTTTTAAGCATTTCCATCATCTGTGAGGTAGGGAGGGAAAAACAGAACAGTTAAGGTATAATCAAATGAGATTGTGCACATCGTAGTACGATTTGTAAACAATATTATTTGCTACAGTGGGGAGAGTGTGAATCATTCAGGTTTCTGCTGCTATTTAACCAGATAAGGAACTTTCTGAAAGGCAGGAGTAATTCAGCGGGTTACTAAGGAGGTGGATGCAAAAAATACAATTAACAGAGGAGAAACAGTGACAGAACTTAAATAAACACAAAACAGCAAAGTCATCTTAAGGACTACTGTGTGTTGCTGATTTTTTTTGCTATCGTGCCAGAATCAAAACTCCCAGTAACATCTTTTGATCAGTGGGCAACTTTAAGCACTATGTTAACCACGTTACTTCAAAAGTATTTGAATAAAGGTGTAAAATTAAAAAGAAAAAATCACAAATCAGAACCGTTGAACAGTTATTGAGATGAAAGATAAAAACACATCAGTTACTACATCAGTAAATACAGATCTACAGAATTTTGTCTTCTGGATGAGAAGTTAAAGTAATAAAGATATATTATTTAACTCTTGTTGGTGCACTGCTTGTCATTTTTGACTATACTTCCAAAAACAATGGCACTGTCTGAAAGAACCCAACCTAATCTGGTGTGCACAGTGGATCTGCAGGGCAGACATGGCTTGTGCTTCTAATTATGCACCCATAGGATTATGTTCTGGTGAGGTCCTGCACACCCTGTGCTCTGGGGAAGCCAACAGGGAACCTGCAGATACTTCAGGACTCAGAGGAACGTATCTTCAGCTCAATACTCAGGTAATTTCTTGTGAGTTTACAGAACTTTACACAGCATTTTGTGCCCAGTGAGGAAACACACAGAAAGTCACCTACAAGCTAAAGGATTCATATTAAAAAAAAAGTATGCCTGCATGCCTGTGTACTACACTGCTGGACATCTAAAAATCTGTAAAAAGCATGGGAGAAAGAAACGAGGCTCTTCTGTGGGAGCAGCAGAGCAATCAATTGGGCTAAACTTCTACTGTTTCACAGTGGTCTCAAAGGATATGCTAAAATAGAGTCTCAGATCTCAAAGCAATCATTTGTTATATAAAAACACAGCCCAGCGGTTCCAATATCACTCCAAGATTGTTTGGAAAATAATTTAAGTATTTCAAACTGGACTTGACATATGAATCACAAATAGCCAACATAGAATCAGATGTCTTCTAGCTGTTTTTAATGTATAAGAACTGTAAAATACACCAGTGAAGTTGGAAGTAATAGCTGGAAGTATCTAAATGGAATGGTTAAACAACTGACACAGCCCTGATGAAAATAATATTAACTTTTCTAAAGCTTCACAGCAGGCGGTAAGGATTTTATTTTATTTTTTAAAACAAATCAGCTGGATTTTCTGTCTTTCTTGGAAGCTGTGACTGTATGTATGCTGTCACTGGATTGCCTCCTAAAACAAGGAGTTGGACTGGCTCCTGCTCTTATTTGGGCAATGAAAGACGGAACAGAGACATGGAAGGATACACATACTGGCTGAGTACTGAGGTATAAAGCAAAGCATCTATCTCATCTATAATACTGGGGGCAAAAAAAAAAAAAAAAGGAAAAAACAAAAAAGGTTAAATATTCTGTCCAATAAATAAAATGGTCAGCATTTTACTTTCCCTCCTGTATTAGTTTGCTCCTTCTGCACTGCCAGATGAACATGGAAGCATCTGTAGGCAGGTAATTGCACTTTGCTGCCTGCCTCCTTCCTATACATCCCAGCCAAGTGGAGCTGATGTTTGGTGCAGGTTGGGTGGCAGCTGTTACAAGTCAGCAGCACCACAATGATTTGGTACACTTGGGAAATGTCCTAGGAAAACCCAGAACCTATTCAAGCACGCACTGATGAAAGATCCATTCTTCCCGTGCCCTGCTTTTCCCCAGACACACGTGCTTCCCACAGGAATCCAACAATGTTTCTATTCCTCTTTCTGCCCCCTGGGACACACCAGCTGTCCAGCCTGCAATCCCACTCATGGGCACTATGGAGCAGGCCTAGGGGAGCCCAGGCATTTATTATCTAGGCTGAGTTTTGCCATCCTCGTGGAGACGAAGGCTTAGTTATCTCCCAGTCACAAATACATACAGGGGGAGCTGCTGGATCCATTCCAGCCTCAGGAACTTCCAGCACGCTTCCAGCCCCAAGCAGCTTTTCTCAGCAGGACACGTTCCTGCCAACACTTTAATCAGGCTGAGGAACTTTCCCCTCCGTATGCACATAAGCATCACATAGCCATACTAGGAGTCATTTCTGTCCCTCAACTGATTTACTTTGCTCAGATGTAAAACTCTTCTCCTCCTTTTAGCTCCTTCTTGGCTTTGGACTCGATGATCCTTATGGGTCCCTTCCAACTCAGGATATTCTCTGATTCTATGAGTGATGTACCTCTCACTATACCATAATTCCTGCATCAGTCTGTATCCCAAAATACAGGATTTTACGCAGGTTAAGTGTGTGTATTGTATATCCTATACAAACCCAGTAATAGGAACAATCCAGCACCCGGTGAACTGGGAAGACCTGACCCCATTTTCTTTTCTTAGGTAAACCAGGATAATGTACATGAGACACTGGCAGCCCTGAGGCCAACTAGGGATATGCCCACACTGATGTTCTGATTGGGATGAGGAGTATACTTCTGAGGTGAATTTCCCATCAACTATGCCTGTTCCAGCTGATAATTGGCTGATAACCACAGGGGCAAGAAGGAGGCTGGGTGAAATAATGACCTCCCTGCACCGTGCTGCTGGCGCAGACATGGGGCCTCAAGCACGAGCTGCTCACCCCACAGTGCTGCTGTTAACATGGACACTGCCAGGGAGAATCCTGCTGGTTTGATTGATCTTATTTAAATCAATGCAGTTGTTTGTGTGAATAAAGTAGACAGATGTGGCCCTAAGTAGCATTTACTCTACCCTATTACTTGGTGTATAAAGGGACAGTGGTAAATATTTTGTTACTATTGTGAATTCAGAAAAAATCTATTAAAGTCATTGAAGAAAGTCCATACTTACACTGGCATTACCAGTTTTAGCATTTGACTGCTTTTATTTGGATATGTAAAGCAGCCTTGCTCTGGAGCAAGTGTAAGGAGAACCATTTTTCCTTTGGGATCGTTGAATATAGAGCTAGAGGAAGAAATAATCAATTTTGTTATAATCCTTTTCTTCTCAACTATCAAATTTTGCAGGTTACATATCTGTGTATTGCTGTTTATATATTCTTTTAGCTTTGTTAGTGGTGACAGTAAAATTCTCCACGGTGTATATAACAAATAATTATTTGCATCTAGAAATACTGACGATGTCTTGCCTATGGCAACAAACAGGTTTTAAAACAACAGTAAAACGTGCCGTGTCTTCTTAATTAGTCTCCATTGATTAAACATGCAGATTATTCACAAAAAGCCTGACACAACTGAAAGAAGGATAACTAATGGAATGCTTGTATTCCCTGGATCACATGCAATTCATCTTTACTAAGCTATCTGAGCCCCTGTAATCTTAAAGTATTTATGAAGTAATAGGCGGAAAGTTTTAGGTCAAGCACATTTGGTACTAAAAATGTTTAATTTGTTTCTTAGGATGAAATTCTATTCCTGATGGAAAAGGAGAGAGTTCAACGTGTTAAAGCCACAGACATCTTGCAGCAAGACATAGGAAACATAGAACAGTACTGGAAGCAATCTTTACAATGCTGAGATTTTGTTCCGTATAATTAAACATCTCAGCTCAGCCACAGAAACCTGCATCGACCTCGCCTGCCCTATTTTACACTCACAGCAATTAGAGAAGCACACCATATATATTTAGACAAAGACTGTATGGCAGGAGCTGGTGATATAGTGACTCAGCAAGGCATCATCAGAAGGTATTAGCGGCACTCAGGCTTTGTACACCCCTGGGAGGGCCAGACCTGTCAGATTAATACAAAGGACTATTTTTGTATCACCCAGAAAGTTTCTGCCATACATCAAACTGCACTGGCTGCTTATTTTAGGTGACAGCAATTCATACGTTTTTCTCGAACAATAAAATCTTCAGTGCTTTTTGGTTATGCACATCTCCTGCAATGAATCTTCCCTTTGAAGCATTTTGCAGAGGAAAGGTTTCTAAATGGAGAGCATCAGAGACATTTTCATCAGACATTTCCAACATACCAGTGAATTAACCACCCACGCACCAAAGGCAGGCAGCAGCTGTGCTCACATGCTGATGCGGTATCAGGGAGTATGTGGGTGCACACTTTGGGATGGACCAACATCTGGATGAGTGCCCTGCTCTGCTGTGCCCTGTTGGGACTCAGCCCCATGCAGTGCCTCTTGGAGGAGGTTGGGCTCTTCAGCTGTTTGCAAAAGGAGCTTGAATAACCTGGCATTGGGATGAGGCCTTTATGTAGTAACAGAATAATGCTACTTGTTCTTAGATTCAGATTTGATCAACAGCTTTGTTTTTATGCTCCATTATTTCATTTCTTGATAATTCTTGAGAACTCTTTTAATTTCTATAAGCATTTTCCCTTTCAATTAGCTTTAAGAACAGCTGCAGCCATTGTGTAGTGTGTAAATGCAGAATAATTGAATCTTGCCCTCTTTTCCTTCATTGCCTCTCTGTCTGCAGTGAAAGATCTCCTTCCCCACTCACAGCCTCAGTACATCTCTGACGAAGCCCAGCTCTCCTCCCTCTCCATTTCCACACTCCAACAGGGACATCTCCTCCATCTCTTCCTCCTGCACCTCCACCACCATGATCTTTCCAAAGTTGGAAACCGCTTTTTTACTTATCCTGTTCATTTCTTCTCGTTGCAATGGAAATCTCGTCCTTCTTCCCATCCACTTTATTTTAATTCTTGAAAACAACTTGCCTGAAAACTGGTATACTGCTGCAGGTGTTGTTGATATTGGGTCATACGTTTGGGTCACGCAATCCTGACTCGTGCAGCCTGGTGCTAGTGGA